GCAAGTAAATATCTTAATAAGTACCAGACAAAGTGCTTTGGGCTTAAAGAGGATAGAGCATAGATTAAATTCTCAGATCTTCAGCACGAAGACTTAGATCCGCAGTGTAAGCTTGAGGCATCAGCTAGGGGCTTGATATTTGTAGGAGTGATTTTGCATGGGGATTAGGGACTGAGAGCAGACTCTTCTTCATGGCAGGGATGAGGAGATGGACGGAGAGTGGGAAGCCCCTCAGATCCCTAACCCTGCCTGTGAGATGGCCATTGGCTGCGGGGAGTGGAAGCCCCCAATGATCAACAACCCCCAGTACAGGGGCAAGTGGAAGCCACCCCTCATCGACAATCCCAGCTATCAGGTAGGACTGATAAATGGTGCGGTAGAACGAGCCGGGATTTCTATGGATATCCATGTTACAGCTGGGAATTTCCTATGGTGTCATGGCAACCCACCAAAGAGCTCTAAGGAGACCACTTTAATTATGTCCCTTAGGGTGTCTGGAGCCCAAGAAAAATCCCCAACCCAGATTACTTTGAAGACCTCCACCCATTCAGAATGACGCCCTTCAGAGCCATAGGCTTGGAGCTGTGGTCCATGACCTCGGAGATTTACTTCGACAACTTCATCATCACTGAGGACAAGGAGGTGGCGGATCGCTGGGCGTCGGACGGCTGGGGGCTGAAGCGGCTAGTGGCTAGCGCTAACGAGGTGGGGGTCCATATCCGCCGCTGCATGCACTTTCAGAGATATCCTGCACACTCTCGCCAAATTTCCCAACCTAAGATGGCCTACGTTGGGAATTTGTGGCTCCCTGTTTAAGGGCTATTTTTGAAAATGAACAGCAGGTTTTGTAAGACTCTTTACACCTGGGTGTAGCGGGGTTTGAACTCTCACTTCCGTAGCCTGGAATCTTCGCTCGGCTGAGCATGGCTGCGGAGGAGCGTCCCTGGATGTGGGTGGTCTATATCCTGACGGTGGGCCTGCCTGTCGTTCTTCTGGTGCTCTTCTGCTGGCCCCAGGTAAGAGAGTGCACCCTGCTGTACGGGAGGCTCAGTGCAGCTGAATTCTTTGTATCGTCGCAATTGATTATAGGGCATTGTGTTGTGCATGTGGATTGGGATCATTTTGTCCAAGAGAACCTGGGAACTGGTGAGAACAAGATTGCTAATTTTATGTAGCAAACAAAGAGCTTTTCTTTCCAGTCCATTGACGTCGTTACTCATTCTGCTGTATATTCTGAGCGCCACTATATACTACTCTGCTGTTCTGCAGTATCACATGAGTTATTTAGCTGTGTCTCCGCTAATAGCTCCCCAGCTGGGACCTTGCCTCGTGTACCTCTGGTACTGGTGTAGCTGCTTGCCTTAGTCATGTCCCAGCCTGGTTCTGTTTCAGACCCAGCAGGGTATATGAAGTCAAGTGTCAGACGATGGCTTGAATGATCTGAAGGTTTTTTTAAAAAAAAGCTGCATATGGGATAAGTGCTTTTTTTTTTATTATTTTTAATTTTTTTTAGAAACCTCGAGAAGACTATGCGTTTAAGAAGGCAGACATGCCTCGTGTCCAGGAGGAAGAAGAAGAAGAGGAGGAGGAGGAGGAAGAGGATGGTGCAGAGGAGAAAGGAGAGGCTAATGAGGCCCAGAGCAGTGAGCCAGCAGGTCAGAGAATGAAAGCCACCGTCCTATAATGTCGTCATGTGTCCAGATCCTGTGAGATCCAGCCCTTGTCAGGTGACTCCCATCACTCATTTTCATTGGCCATGGCCTTGTGATCTCACTTCCTGCCGAACTTCCTGTCTCCAAGGTGAGAGTGAAGGGAAGCCGGCAGACGTGGAAAATGGAGCCGTAGGAGGTGACAGCCCGGAGGAGGAGGAGGAGGAAGACCGAAGCAAGTCCAACGAGAGTCCATCGGACGATGAGGTCGGACCGGGGAACCATGAACCAGTGCAGCTTAGCGTAGAACGGATGTTAACGAAAACCGATGAATTCCCTGCTGTTCGTTTACAACGTTGGTTTGACATGTGACGTTCAGCATGGAGACAAAGCATTCAAAACGGATTGAATTCCAAGGGAGGGCCACTTGCCTTAATGTTAATTTTTATATAACAAACCCCCACCCCTTTCCTCTGTGTACTTCCAGATGAAGGATGCAGATGAGGGCAACCAGGGCGTCGTGGAAGGGCCGAAGCAGGCAGTGCGGAAGAGGCGAGTGCGGAAGGAGTAGAGCTGGGTGTCTCCCCAGCCCATGATGCCACCCGCCTTTCCCCTGTGGTGCATGCAAACCAGCATGCAGGCTCCCTGGCTGGCACTCGGCGTGACTCACCAGACTCCATGCTCTGCCCCTCGGATTTGCCCTGCCCCCTCCAAGCCCCGCCCCCTCCAATCCACACCCCTCCAAGCTCCGCCCCCTAAAAGCCCCACTCCTTAATTTAGATTTTCCTAAGTTATTTACAGCTAATGTGTGTATGCAGTTTAAAGCCCTGGCGTTAATATGACACCTACCCAGTGTGTATTTCACACTGGTTACGTATGTGTAGATAGTGTGGATGTTAGGAAAAGGTCCCGTTTCTACAGCATACGAATACGAGAGAAATATTAGAAGCCTGTAAGTGTTGTTTTTTTTTTTTTTTTACCTCTAGATTGCAATGTTTTAGTAACTTATGAACTTGAGTATTTTTAAGTTATCTTAATTTATTTATTTTTTTGGTCTGTGTCTGTCCTGAGTCCATAAATGATTTTTGATACCATGAAGCAGCAATTGAGATGATTTTAGGATATTTTAGAAGGATTAGCTGCCTTTGTTTGCTTGTTCTGGCGTTCTGGTCACATGCTCGGAATCCCCCCCCCCCCCCCCCCGACTGTCCTGGTAGGGGGGTGAGGCCCGCCCGTGTCTCCCACAGCGAGGCACTTTTTGGTGGACAGCCAATCAGACCCCGGCCTTTCCGGTGTTCTTGTTCTTGCCAGCCAATGGCAGACCCCCGTTTTCAAATGTTTGCAAAGTACACATTGATCTTGAAAATAAATATTTAATACATACATGTTCTGCGTCTTCTGTTGCATGAGTAGAATTATGAAGGGCATCAGAGTTAATACATTAATTTAAAATACTGGCTCTCCCAAACCTAAGAACATATCTCGGCAACACTTACGCGTATCCAAGAGGACTTTCATGAATGGGAACCGGCGTAAAATTTCAATTCAATTACATGGTTTAATTGTACAACACCCTCAAATTAGTGCAGCTAATGAAGTCCCCTTAACAGGTTGCCTGATAAGTTTGCTACTCTCGAAATTACTCGCTAAACTAATGGTGTCATTTGGAAATGCTTTTTTTCTACGCAGATTTCAGTTACGCAGAGCCTTGGGGCGGTCTTAGGCTTCCCGGCATGGCAGTGAGTGAATAGGTACTTAGGAAAAACGACAGCAAGGCAGCCAAGTCAGGCAAAGGCCAAAACATCTTTATTAAAACCGAAGGAAACTGCTGAAACGCAATGCCATCTATTCAAGAGGCGGCTTTTTTTTTAACAGGCCATGTAGGAAACACAAGTTACATTTCTTAGCGTAAATATGCAATACAAAAAAACGGAGCATTTCTCCAAATGAAGACGAATGTGGGATGATCTATTGTGTGCACGTCACATGAGGTGCCTTGTGAGAGCTGCACCCACTGCATCAGTACAACACCCCCCCCCCCCCACGCACACTCAGCAGGGCTCCAGGTTAAATGCTCTCCTGCATTCAGCTTTTCACTCCCGTCCAAACAGCCTTAATGCACTGGACACCAGGAGCCGCTGCCGTGATTTCCGATCGAAGACAATCAGTGGCTCGGATCGTCCGTCGGGACGGCCGGTACACAGCAGAGGTCCGTCTCTCCACCTCTCTGTTTGTTAATAACCCCCCCGGTGTCTGGCCTCTGCCGGGCTCCATTTAATCGCTGCTATTACCCCCCCAGTGTTTCCCATCCAGGACCTTGGGCACACACAGACAGTCCACATTTTTGCTCCCTCCCAGCTCCCTGTCACAGTCCACATTTTTGCTCCCTCCCAGCTTCCTGTCAGACAGTCCACATTTTTGCTCCTTCCCAGCTCCCTCGTCACACAGTCCATGTTTTTGCTCCCTTCCAGCTCCCAGTGGAGCAAAAACATGGACTGTCTGTGGGTCCCAAAGGACTGGATTGGGAAACACTGTTCTAGAAGATCTGGGTCAATGGAAGTTACCGTGGGAACGCAACGCCAAAAAACGAGGTTGACAATGACAGGACAACAGGCTGGAAGGTCACAACCATCGTTGATGACCTTGGGTGAAACTGAACAGAAAGGACCGATCTCTGCTTTGTAAGGGCAGGATCTCGCCATCTAGCACAGAAGCATTCCTGGTTACTCTTCAGAAAGAGCATGGGAAGGTATTTACAGCTATATTGCATATCTGGTTACCTGC